ACTTGAATTATGCAGATCATCAACACATATTTCCAAAATCTTTCTTGAAAGAGGATATCATAGAGTCTTTTCACGAGGACTACATGTTCTTGGATTGTATCAGGTTTATCAATACTGTAAGTACCTACACTGCATCTCGTATGAACTCCCTCCCTCCCTATCAATAGGTATCATTTCCCATCTCAAGTGGAATTTTGAATTGAATATTACATTTTTAATAGAAATTTATATATGGATGATTGGGTGTAGGCTGCCCTTCGCTGAAGGCTCGCTATGAGATCCATTCCGTAGTCTCTGGTTGATTTGAAAGGAGGGAAGAAGGAATATAGTACACTTGTGAAGTCAAAACCCAAGCTCCAATGTTGAATCAATTAAAATAAATAGCCAAGCCAAATGTTATTTATTAAAATAATTAAAAAAATGGAAGCATGGAACTGGAATGGGAACTTGGACTGAACACTGGTGATCCAGAATTTGGAATAAAATCAGTTAATCGACTTAATTTCTTTGCTAAAATACATTTTAATAGCTAGTTGACATATATCCATAACATTTTTGGCAAAAAAAGCAGTGTTTATTGTGTTATGATCCGGAGATCCACCTTACCGAAGTCCAATCCATGGGCCATTCCAGGACACGATTCCTGATTTTCCAACTTGAAAATTCCTTAAAATGACAAATTTAGTTAAAATAAAGATAAATCAGCTATTTAACTACAGTTTGTTGAGGTGAATDTTAYGATTTGACTGCATTAAAGGGTAGTATTCCTAAGTCATTGAATTGCTTTATTGCACCTTACATTAACACAAAACAGCCCCTCTTGCCTCCTCCTAGAGGTTTTATTCCATCTTAGTTGGCATGGAAAAGGTTGAATATCAATGTTCGGCAGTCAACATTAGATTTAATTGCAAGTGTGGTGACATTATAATCATAAGTAGGAAATAGATTTCATAGAATTAACTTTAAATTTCATTCATTAAAAAGTGTTTAGTAGCTTTATTCACGAAATGCAGCATAGGATGGGATCAGTAGACATGGTCTTGTGTGGCACTTTAACAAATAATGAAGGAACCAGGGAGGGTCATGGAGCATAGTTTGCAGTGGGGGAGGCTAATCTGGGGGGGGGGGTCAGAGAAAGAACAAAAATTACAGAGTTTGTGTGGAAAAAGGTTGGGGGGGGGGGGGGGGGGGGGGGGGGGGGGGCAAGGAACTGCCCTCATCCCCCTCAATATTTATGAGGTTCTCAGAAATGAGATTTCAATATTTATTCCATTATAAAGTCATATCAAAGCTTTAGACAACCTATAACAGAAAATCATTTTTGGCTTAAAACTCAAGGCACAGCCCCCCCCTCCCCCCATAATGAGATTCATTCAGTTGATTGAGAAAGCAGGCAGTTCACTTGATGCTGATAGCTTTTCATTTAATTTGCTTTGCCCTAATCATTCTCCTTAGGAAACATCCACTTTTTACAGGCATGGGGGAGTTGTAAAAATATTCAGGTTGGGAAGGGCGCGTACCTTTTTTAACTTACAATTCACAAAATCCAACCAGCCCTCTCATTCCCATAAAAAATGAAAGGTCCCTTAACCTTAAAAATCCCAAGACATTTACAAACAACACATGGAGAAACAGCAACACCTTTTCTTCATCAGTATTTTCCATTAACCATTATTTTTTTCTCTTCATTTCAGATGAAAACAGGGCCATTTGCTGAGCATTCCAATACCCTGTGGGGAATAAGTGGTGTTCCCAATTGGGATAAGGTTTATTCTGGCCTCATAAAGATGTACAAGAAAGAGGTAATGATAACATTACAACACAATCCACAAAAGTATTACCACATTWAATGTTTTCGCATACTTCTATGCACAGGCTTTTGGCTACCAAAGGAGCTTTTACACATTGTGTAGTTCCAGAAATCATCCATACCCACCCCACAGAGGAATTTGGAATTTCCGAAGAGTAGGGGGGTCAGAGAAAGAACAAAAATTACAGAGTTTGTATGGAAAAAAATTGGAATTTCCAGGGGGTAGGGGAGTGTTTTAAAAAAAATTCCTCCGTGAGGGGGGTATGGATAATTTTTGGAACTACACATTTTATTTGTCAAAATCAGCCAACTTCGCATGAAATGTGTTGGTTTAATACACTTCAAAATCCAATGATAGAAGTATGACATAACGTGGTTGTTGCGCTGTATTTAAATATCTTTTTGAGGTATTTTTTTAAAAACATCACTGAAGAGAATGACCGCACCAAGCACTTAAACAATCCTTGTACAATTTCTTTTAAATTTATCAGAATAAAACTATGATTTATCCATTCCATATCYTTTTTTTTAGGTGTTGTCAAAGTTCCCTATCATTCAACACTTCTTGTTTGGTACATTGATGTCTGTTGAGCCTACAGATCACTTCAAAAAACCAAAATGATAATGAGCTGACGTGCAAAGAGTGGATAGAAATGTGTAACAGCACTATGTTCACRTACCATTAGATTTTGCAACTCTACAAAGAAAAGTGAAAAAAATGACAATTATTTCAGCTGTCAATCATGATTACTGAAACCTGTGTGACCATGCTAAAAGTTAACGTTGTTCGGTTATCTTTTGCTGGAAAGGATTGACAAAGAAAGACATAGGTACGATCATTCTATATCAAGAGGCAAATGGTCAAAATGATGAGTGTAAGACTTTGTGAGATTGTCGAACCTAACCAATTAATTTTTTTTTAAAAAGCTCCACTGCTAATAATATATAATATGYCCTATTTATTTCACAAAATGGGACTTAGTAGTGTCATTATACATGAGATTGCAGGCAAATTGGGCAGCTAAACTAAGGTAGTTTTTCATTTTCGTCTGATATGAATTTACAGACTTTCAAGCCAAAGGATGTCCATTGCCAAACAAAATGAAATCAGTACTTAGGATATCATTTGAAGGACAATAAAATATTAAATACAGATATCAAAATACTGCTTTAATAATATTAAAATGTCATTATGCTTCAGTAATTCTGCCTTGTTTATATCGCATTTCATAATAAATAGAGTTCCATTGTTCTATCTTTAGGTGTGTCTTGAATAAATTAGATGCTTTGTTAGGCAGGCAGAAACATCTGGTCTTGTTCTAAAGTTTACTTACAACTGCTGCTTCCTGCTACCAATTGAACCCTTCCATAGGGATATCTGTTATGGAAAGCTAAGACAAGCATGGGAACCATTGAGSTTGTTTCCTATTTCTAATTTTGGTAGCAATGCATGTTATAACATATCAGAGCTGAATCCAGCCATGTGTAAATCATTGTTGTGAAAGCATAATAATTTTTCATTATTAGATTTTTATTTCTTGTCAGGAATTTAGAAGTTTTATGAATTATCAATCTTCTGAGGACCAGACTCTTTAGTTTAAATCGAGAGGGTAATATTTATAACACAGAGCAGCTGAAACTTCCGAATTAACTTAATTTAACAATGGCACCAATTCCTAAGAGGGAACCATCAAGTAGTATCTAACAAAACTGGATTCCAAAAAAAGTATTGTTTAAGATACTAATTTCCTCATAGGYTTAGTGTGGTCTAGCTATTTAGATAACCTGTAGGTATATGTCTAGGCCGATCGTGGCAGATTTTGCGTTCCGCTCTACGCCCCACTATTATGTTCGATGACGTCAACTTTCTTCTCGACTTACCTTACCTACCGTGCCCTTTGTCACGGAACCTTCATACATTTCCGTCTAAAAACCCACATACTTCCCGTTTCGCCCAACAAAAACATCTCAGCAACCAAAAGCATTTTTCATATCTTTATTATTGGTGTATAAACGGTATATGGAGTAGAAATGGCTATCTCTGAAAGCTACTCGTTCGGTATAGCTTTATTATTTACAAATATGGTACAACTGTATCACTAAAATCAGTCCTGAATATTATCGATGTTCATGTAAATCTTGGATTATGAGTATTATGTTTGTGCGTATTCTAAATTTCTATTATTATTTCGCAATTTCTATGTACGAACATCTGTATGGAATATTTTTGGTATTTTTAGGGATATAAAACAATGTCTTTATAAATATATATAATTGCATGTTCGAACTTGTTTCTTAACATGATTTACTATTTTTAGTAACGATTGTGTGGGCTGATGGAAGTAGAAAAGTTTGAAAACCAAAGGGTTGGTTTTCTAAGAAAAAGTCTTGGAATAATTTTGAATAAAAGCTTTACAAAACTGTCAAAAGATAATAGAATATAAAACATCACTTTGATCAACTCACATTCGTAGAATCCGTTACATGACAACACCATCTAATATCCAGACTGAGCGAAAGCATTTTGTGCTCAAGGCAAGCTATTTGAATTTGTTTTTAGTCGAGATCACGACGTTGAAGTTCAAAAAGCAGCGACAGTCTGCTGCCATGATGGCTGACTGTAAACACCATTCACAGGCGGTGTTATACAAGAAAATATAAACGAATCGTTAGACGATTTCGAAGAAAACCCTGAAAGACCACTTAGACTATTGCTAAATACATTAACAAGTCCTGATACGTCCATAGGTTCGATATTTTCAGCGTCTAAAGTATTTCTTTCAGTTGTATTCTGTTCTGTTCGGCACCTTTTTCGGGTGACCGCGTGGTTTTCACAAGTGTCATTTGCATAATGGGACCTTGGCCGTTTAACAGCTTTCGATTCCTTGTTTCCTGACGAACAGTTCGCTAAAGCACTAGAATGTAATACCTTGGGATTCACTTCTTTAGATATGTTCATATTTGTGACTTGATTATCAGCTGTTCGTTCACAAAGTACTTTGGAGTCCATGTTATTCGTAGAATTTCTCAACTCGTGAGCATTTCCTGACCCACCCGTGTCGTCACGCAACAAAACCGGCCGTTCCAAACACACTGATTCTTGTTCAAGTCCATCACAATCCACATCTCCATCTTTAGGAGTTCTATAATGTCCATATGACGTTTCTGATGAAGTTAACGCATTATTTAGCACATTAGAAACCAGTAAACTTCGCCTCAACATGGGACCTCCACGACGGCGACGACAGTCTGTGATTTTTGTCAAAGAAACTTGAATAATTCGTTCCATTTCTCGCTCCATATTCAACACAAATGTCTAACTCTAGTTCTTCTTTAAAATTAGGGCCGAGTCTTTGGGTTTTCCGCTAGTTTAACGTATTTTTTCGCCGTTCAAAGTAGCATAAATTCACCGGCCCTGATGAATGTCTTTCGATGAATGAGAATATACGTTGACGCCAAGTCATATGAAATTTACTTTGTGCTCAATCCAGCCAATCACATAACATTTACGTCATTTCTAACCAATCAGCGCGCAGATGCGTTTCTACTGGAAAATTCCCGCGTAGAGTAGAAACACGACTCTCAACCAATCAGGGACCACCGGAAACAAGACATGACGTCATTTTCTCCGAATCGGGAGTGTTTTGACGCGTCGTTGCTAGGTAACGTTCACATTGGCGGGAGATGACGAGTTTTTCATGATATTGAATACCGAATGTGTGCATGTGCGTCATCAAGGAAGTATTGTAGCAACATAAGTAAACGTTTTGTGAGTCACTATCGAAAGTAAAAGTGATACAGAAATTTCCCTAATGCACAACCTGGAAATAATCTTTGTACAAACGAAGTATTTGATAATTCTCTGCTTATTTTTCTATATCTTGGACTTCAGCGGGCAAGATGAAGCACGTTTTTTAAAACATAAAATCCCCTTCAGCTCCGTTCGAATTTAGAACGCGTTCTTATGACTCACAACCCAAAAATGAACGCTGCTTTTCTTTGCGGATATGTATACTCTTAAAATAGTATTTCCATTGTTCTATTAGAGGTAGTCAGGTGAAATAATTCATTTGATTCCGACAAGTCTACTTTGACCTTTGTAGTTTCCTGTCCAACTATGGGTCCGAAGTGAAACATGACATAGGCGGAAGCGGCAAACTGGCGGCTCGTTTACGCACAAAAAACTGTTTTGCTGTTTCAAAGGAATTCACGAATTCAAAGGTTATTCCCTGCCGATTTAAATGAACGGCAAAAAAGTCACTTTATTGAAATGAAAAAAGTTTAAAATTGAATTAGTATTGAGAAGGTTATTCAATAAAGTGACGTAGCTCTGATATAACCCTGAACTTGTAGCTCGTAACCTCGCAGACAGACTACCGCACGGAACTATAGACCTTGAAAACTAAACGCCTTCAAACTCTTTAAAAAATACGATACTATACGTTTAAATTTAATTATTTTAATTTCAATTATTTGTTGTATAATTGCTTAAAATTATATTATCAAATGATTGTGGGAGGGGGATTCATATCATAAAAGTATCATGTTTTTGTGCAAGAAGTGTGTTTTAACAAAATAATTGTTAGGAAAGTTTCAGTCCATTTAGCGAGAATTTCAAATTAAATCAGTGTAGTTATCTTCCCTGGTTATGATATAAGCAAAACATCCCCTCATCTGTCAGAATCGTGTGTGGTAGGCGTATAGAGAACACGTTTCTAGGAAATAAAGCACCCACGCATTGGTGTTTCCCTGCTTGAAGGCGAGATTCCTAAATTCAAAAACAAACCAAAACATTATGCGATTACACACGAAAAAAAAGCTATTCTTGTTTTTATTCTTAGTTTAGTACATGCCATACAATAAATAGTGTTTTTAAAAAGTCCGTGGTTTTGTTGCTATCATGATAATTTTTAAAACCGGGTTTACTTCTAATTTCAGAGTTAAAAATGTGTGACGATTCCGCGAAGTGTTGTTTTGAAATTGCAATTCAAGTTAATCTAAAAATTTCGCTGAAAATTATTGATCCATGTAAAGGAATATGGACTCCAAAATTCCTAGAATTGTACTATAAAATCTCGAATCTGGAATATGTGGACTTCGGAGTCCATTGTCCAGATTAAATTCCTTTACATGGATGAAAAATATATACTTTACATTATTTATTACAATATTATCTAGTTTACCAATAAATAAATAATTATTTTAGAGATCATATATTTTCATATGCCCAGAAAGAGGAAGGCTTTCCCTCTGCGTCTCTCATTCTTTTTGCAAAAGCTGAAAAGCTGGAGACACAGTTTCCTATGAAGTGGTCTGCTTTTGTCAGGATTGCCATGTCAACTAATGGGTCAGATATTTCATCTTGGTCTTTGCGATAATGAACAGAAGCCTGCATAGAGAAAAAGAGTGTTGTGATGATGAATATTTCAATTGATAAAGCTTTTTTGCATGCAAACCCTTTTTTAAACCCTGGATCTATCACTGCAATATTATCCTTATAAACAAAACCTCAAAAATACAAGATACTTCTTTGTTTGAGTTTCATTCATACCTTCAACTTTTCAAGAGCTTTCGTAAGTTTTTTCACTAGTGGATTGTCATCTGTAGCTACGAATACACTCTTTGCTTTAATTGCTTTAACTACTTTTTTAACTTTCTTCAATATCTCTTTCTCACTTGGGAAGCACATTTCATAGGTTAGCTTTTTACCAGAGCCAGGTTCGATGCATTGGGTCGATGCGAACAAGGAATTAGTGTCCTTCACATGCTCACAAGCACCTTTCTGATGGGGAAAATAGAATGAAGAAAATAAGTAATAATCCTACTATAAAGTCTTAGTATATTTTATAACCTCAAGCATCAGTAGTGGAAAAGGGAAAGTGGTATGAAACTGAAACGAATTGCTGTACAGTGTAAAATATTTTCTTTGTGTCATATGATTTCTTCTGTAGCTTCACATCATTGTAAAGCACTGGTATGCTGCAGTGATCAGAAGCTGCTGTGGTCATCCAGGATTGTTACAGGATTTAAGGGTGTTATAGTGGTAGTGAACTCACCCACCACCTCTGGGGTCTAGGGTTTGATTCCTGGACTTAACACAACATGTGAGTAGAGTTTGTCAGCTCTCTCCCTTGACTCAAGGGATTTTCTCTGGTTTATTTCTCCAGTTCCAAAAAATGTCCTTTCTCTGCGAAACCTAAAAGACACTTATTTCAAATTCAATCTGTGAGTTAGTCATGCCCTGACTTTGAATAACACAGAGGTTGTATTATAAAATTTGATTTTTTTGTACTGTAGGCTAAATGGTAGAGGTGGGTTAGGGGATAGCCACCCAATCAACCCACTGAATCACCCTCATAGAGTGCAAATAGTACTTACAAAATCTATGCCATTTCTTAAGTGAATCCCTACAAAGGGTCCCTCTGGAAGTACATTTTTAATGAATTTATCTGCTCTCTTGTTCATGGCAGCAGACCATTTGACAAACTTTTGAAGCCATCGGTTTTGCTTTTCACATGGAAAAGAACCAGGCGCTCCCATCAATGCTATAACAGGGTACTCAGCAACTGGAAACCTGGAATTCCATTCATCATTCATTGGATTCCATAGCAACCCAGTATGTTCTCTGTAATCGTTAAAGTTGATTTTGAAATGATTCCAAAATGGTCCAAATGGGTTTCCTTCTTTCATTGAACAGCTTTTGCCATTTTGGAATGAGTAGCAGAAACCTTTAACAAAGAACAATGCAATTGAAATGAGGAATATTATTATATATGACAGGGTTTCGTACTACTAGGAAGTTAAAAAATTCCAGAAGTTTTCCAGACTATGAATATATAAATTGCAGTCACCCTAACTTTGAATTTTATGTCAGAAATAGTAAAACAGTAAACAGAGAAATGTCAAGGAGTTTTCCAGGAGTTAGTGTCATAAAAAAATTTCAAGGAGTTTTCCATAGCCCTGGAAATTTTTTTTTTTAATTCCAGAAATTTCATAGGAATTCAAGGAGCATGTGTGAACCTAGCCTGCGTGCAGCTGGACTTTTCTAACAGTTAGTTAGTTCGGCTGCAGGCAGGCTAATGTGAACCCTGAAATCATTTAATTTATTATATAACTTGGATATTAATCTCATTCTGATTGGTGTAGAACTGTGCTTTGTGAATGAAGTATGGTTTCTGATGCCATCTGCACATAAAGCCAATGTTTCAAAAAAGAATCTTGAAAGCAAATCTACAAAAACTTACCTATTCTTTTACCAGGTGGCCATACTTTTGGTGCAATTTCTTTCATAAATTTCTCCATGGTAACAACTCTGTGATACTCTTTTAAAGGCTCTACTTGAAACCAGTTGTCAAAGGGTACTCTCATCTATGGTTTAAAAGAAACACAATTTATATTAATAAGAATGATTGCATGAGTAATACAGTAGCAGCGGTTTTCCATGTCAAACATGTGAACAGACTCTCAAGGGGAAGGAAAGGGACTCTACACTTTTTTCCCTCCTGTAATACACAACTGGCAGTGTAACAACCTCTATAATGATCTCTCTCCTATGATTATAATTTATTAGACTATTTATCAATTATTAAAACTTAAAATCCAATCTCATTGCAACAAGAGTAGTGTAAAGTTTTACTTACTGAATCACCAGGTTTTGAGCGAGGATATACGACCCAGGGAGGTAAGATTAGGGTGCGATTCAACCCTTTTGCAAATGCTAATGCACCTAAGAACTGGTCAGCTTGGTTACCAAATCTACCTGCAATAAGCAACGATAATGAAGGTCAATGTTGGTGGTATTTAGCTAAGATTTTCATAAGTTTCCTTTCTTCAAACAACCTTCAAACAAATTCTTTAAATGCCCCCAAACAATCTCTTGCAGATCTAATCTGAATTCAGCTGGCAAGATTTTGTGAAGGGAGAAAAACTGGAGAAAAAAATGGAAAGATCCAGCAAACTAAGCTCATATTGAATACCAATTCCAGGAATTGAACCGGAGATGTGACCCCTAGCAGTCAGAAGCAAATGCACTAGCTACTTTAGGACAGACCATTAGATTTTTGAGGGAGAGGGGGGTTGGGCAAAAACCAAAAAAAATTTGAGCACAGCTTTAAAGAGTGAAAAAAATTGTAATAAGAAAAAGTAGATAAATTGTAAATAAGAAAAGTGCCAGAAAAAAAATCCAAATTATGTTCAAAACAAATTCCTGCACAGCCATAAGGCTTTTAAAAAAATTTCTGCACAAAATAAATTGCCCACCCTTCCCCCCTTTCAAAAATCTAATGGTCTGTCTCTTGATTCCAAAAGGATATAAGCTACATTTTACTTAGCCATTGATTTTTATAAGAAATGATTGTAATCTGATAATAAGAACATGAAAAAATATAGGCAACCCAATGAATGGTCCGGTGTGTGAGAGCAGAACAGTTAACCAAGTGTTGTCACCCTTTCTTAGTCCCTGTTAATACGTCTACTACACTAACCCGGACGATCACATTTCACAACAAACTTCAACGCCTGGGTTCAAACTATTTACACTTTTTTAATAAATAATAATTCAAGGATGGTAGCTTACAGAAACTCTACCCATATTCAGGTTTCCAAAAGTTAATCTACCCTAACTAAAATAGGGGTAATTAATCACAGATGTGTCAAGTAAACAAATAGCCATTCTTGCGAGGCTATCAAATTACCAAGGTTACTATTGTTGGAGGGTAATCTCAAACCATTAATAGACTGGCACATGCCAGAGAAGCTCAAGCCACAGCTTTGTTTGGATTGCAAAAATATAAAATATTCATAATTTAGTCTTCAGAGATGTTCAAGTTACTGTAATAAGTCTTATTTCAGAAAGATATAAAAGTGTTCCATTAAAAGGAAAACTTGAAGCTATTGGGAAAATAATAAAAACTAAAAAAATTACTCGTTTTAATAATAGCTTGCCCAAAATTTCCGCTTTTCAAAGAGGTTTTCAGTGACTTTCAAAAACTTCATAAATTATTCACCAATATTGATATGTGACCTAAACTATTGTTCAGACTACACGTTTATAAGAGTATTTATATTTATTTTTATATTTATATCTTAAAATCAAAATACATCATAGCTATGAGACTACTTACCCATACAAGGACAATAAGCTATATAACCTTCTTTTGTTCCAGTAGAATTTGTAGCAGCTTTGATTTTCAGCTGTTGTTGTTGTCCTTCTCCAACACTGAAGGCCTCATTCTTGTCTTCATCTGAAAATATTTCTTTTACTTCATCAGCTGAGCTCAAGATTGCAACAAATGCGATGATCTGTAAAAGCAGACAGTACACAAGGTATCTAGCTATTGCAAACTGGCTTAGATACATAATAAAGAGCATAGAAAGATTTCTTTTTGTGGAAAAGCTGACGATAAAAAATAAATGAATGAGTGGAGTTTTCTTTACTTTATAAATAAATAGTGAGCGCGCGATACCCTAAGCCAGCGGTAAATACCACAGGAATCCCATGACCTGTTAGTGGTATGCAACGCCTAGAAGTCATGCGCAACAGTTAAACAAAGAAATGATACTCTAGGGAATAGCTCGTGGTCTGATATGGGAAAACTTTACGCGAAGCTTAACGCCAAATGTAAAGGATTCTCAGTATTTCTACATAAGGTGAGTAGCTCTGATTTTATTTATAACAAAAGGTTGTGTGCTTTATTAATTTCGCTTTCCTAGATGTTTTTGATCATTTAATTCAGTTCGTAATATCATCATAACGCCCTCCGTTATTCAATGAGTTGATCTGAGGAGGCAGAATAAAAATGTTTGAAATTTTACCGTGAAATTTACTAGATAATCAATATTTAGAAAATCTATTGCTTTATCATTAAACATAGTAGACAATATGATAGATATTTAGATTTATTTGAGCAGTTAGTCTACATTTATAACCATGGGAATCCTGTGTTGAAAGTTAGCAGCGCGGGCGCGAGTTGGCGGGCGCGGCAGGGAGCGCGGGCGTATTTTTACATGCGGGATCCCTGCGTATCATCGATATGGCACAGGCAGCCCAACCTCTCGCACCCTCCACCTGCCCACAACAGGGAACCCATCAAATCTATAAGAGAATAAGAGATAGAGGCCTGCGTAGAAATTTGATTGTGCGCATGGTTCTTAGAAAGTTTAATTCTGTGTGCGAAAACTCAGGAAACATTTTCTGATATCGATCTCTGTTCCATCATGAAAAATACATGCAAGCTGTTTATACAAAAATGAGGCTTATCCAAAAAAGATCAGATCAGCACCTGATCGCCTCAGACCTGCGACATTCAGTCTTCCGCATTTTTAAAAACTAGTAAACAGGAAGCTACACATTAAGAACCTACAATTCATCATTAATGTCTTCATTAGTAGGCTAAACTCTTAGTGTTTGCAATGGGATCTCTTGGCTCAATTAGTAGTAAGAGACGCCCATTTATCTTGTATTGAAGGTGGTAATGCCACAAGTGAGCGTGAGAGTCTATATTGTTAGGTCTCTCCCTTGCCACGAAGATTGGCTCCGGGTTCTCTGGTTTTTCTCCCTCCGTAAATATTATGATGTGAGTTGAGTGCTCTGTGTGGTTAGAATGTTAAATGTAGCTCAGTGTAGAAGTGAATATGACGGCATGGAGCTGTAAAAACACGTTTCCGACAAGAAATTCATCTTCCAGCTTTAAGCCTATGACTGTCAGTAGAAAATGATTGATATCCCGAGAAAAAATATATTAAGAGTCGATTCCAGTTTCAGAAATTCTAGATTTTTATTTCCAAAATGTCAAATAAATAAGTATTACTGAAAAAAACCCAGAATAATTAGACGAATGGAAGACAATGTGATACAAACGCATGAACTAAAATATGGCACATGTTTCAGTTACTTACGTCAGAGTCGTGTTGCATCTAATGGGTCGTCAGTTATATCTGATGAAATATGTTTTTACAAAAATTACTGTTGGATTTAAGCTTTAATTTCTATTTTAAAAAATCAAAATACAAAACTTCTTTATCATAATTTCCTTATTTTTTTTGCGCTAAACTTTAGATTATTGGTCTAAGTTAATTATATAAGACAAGCGGAAAAAAAAAACAAATTTTGTTTTGTTTAAAACAAATGTTATAAAGATGCCGCACGAGCTCCGCTTCATGAATGATAACCGCGCTGGTGTTAATAAGTGCTGGTAAAGGACTACCTGATCATTGTAAATTCAGCTGATAAAAAGATTTGTTGCTCAAGGCAATAAATATAAAACAGATATTCTGATCAAGTTCATTGATATAAGAAGTAGTACGATACTAAAGAAAAAACACAACACGTCATTCGTTTGGAGCAAAGGTCATGTATTACTGACGGTACTGACTATAAGCATGATGTTTCGCGTAGCACCTGCTCCAAGTTAAAAGAATGCGCTGTTTTTACGCCTAATTCTTTCCTGTTTTCCAAAGGAGAGATTTTTTTTGCTAGTTCTCTTTTGTATCAATACGATGGTCTTCAGGCGACCTCTGTTTATTATAGTTTCCAAAAACAGTGCACGATCGGTGTCACAGTCAAAGGGGTTTGTTGTCGTAAATAATAATGATATGCAAGTTTTTTGTTTTGTTTTTTTTTTGTTTTTTTTTTCCCCCTTGGTGTTGGGATATTTTTGTATATAACTCATAATTTGATATTTGACAAAAATATGGCTTGAGCAAACTGCAATGTCTAAGTCGGAAAATCGGCAAGAGTGTTTCAGTGGTCGGCTGTACACTTGCCTCCATGACCCTTGGGTGTCGGGTTCGATTCTTGCCTCGAATTGGCATGTGAGTACTCTCTCTTGATTCGAGGGTTTTTCTCCGGGTTCTCCGGTTTTCTTCCCTCCGCAAGACCTTAACATGCTAAATTCCAATTCGATCTGTGAGTTGGTCCTGCTTTTGATCAGCCCAGAGGCTTTTTCAGGTATCAATAAAATTGGTTTGGTTTGGTTTGACCATCCGCGCTGGAGTGAAATTCAACTTTGATGATGCCTCTCAAGAACTTTCAACTAATTGACTTCAAACAACTGATCATCCCAAGCGGGTTAACTTAACATCCTTTGGTCGGTTCTCACGTACGGAAAAGGTCTATTACATCAGTTTTCTCACTTTCATGATCATTATCACCAACGTAGGTCAGTTCAAAGCCGTTAATAAAGAGATGATAAGACCTATCTTGGACCTATTAATTTACTATAATTGGTACAGAAAGATGATTAACTTAGTTTAGATCTATTTAAGGGTTGTTTTTTTCTCTCACAAGACGGACGCTTTAGTATGAAAGAAAACAACTCCAATGGAACCAAAGCCTTACGCCTTAAGCTTTTAATTCTCTCTCTTCACTAACGCACTCCTAATCCATAAAAACTACATCATTTATGACGTCAAAACGTACAATGGCGGAGAAAGAGTATAGGTGTAGTTTGATAGCCACGAGAAAAGTCCGACTTTTTTGGCATATATTTCCCGATTTGCTCCTGGTTTTGTTCCTTCTTCCGACATAAAACGTAAAAGTAGTTTTAAGACTCTGCCGGCGTGCGTAGCCCAGAGGGCTGTAATTATACCTAATGCATTAAATAGAATACAAGAAAATATCTGAACCAAAAAAGGCGGCCTTTAGTTTTAATATGAAGTTGAAAGCCGCGGAAAACAAAGTAACTTCTGCTTTTATCTCATCGTATCGCCAGCGGTTGTTTCGTGTGTCTTATCATGAGACTGAATGACTACGAATCTCTACTGATCTATTCGTATGTTATAAAGCTATATTGTATACGGTTACTAGTTGATATTGCTAGAATGCTTTGATGTTTTATTCAGGTCATAGCAGGCTTCAATAACCTACAGCTTGTATGCGTCTTATCTTTACAGACGCACAGTATTTCTGCTTAACGTTCATCTCTGGAGATGGCGCAAGAACGTAGCGTTCAATTACGTCTGTATAGCAACATGTTATCTTTATAATAAAATCTTTCTAGTTAGATAGATACTTAACACAAAAAGCCTTTTCGACGCTTCATATGGTGGTCATAATGTCAGAGGTTGATTCTTTAAAAAGGAAAAATGTGAATACAGCGAGGTAATGTGTGATATAGAAAGATAGTGTGTTCTATTATATTATAGAATAATCTATTAAAGTGCGCGCATTCCATTGGGGGCTCTCTATGGCTCTCTTCTCGTAGGAAAAAATAAAGAATACTTTAAGATGACACCGTGTAAATGGTTATTCTACCATTCTGCTTTGCAAATTATTCGTCAGGTTAGGCGTGGCCCAAAAACTTTCAATTCAAATGAGATTTTCTGTGACGCAATCATTTGTTATTAAAAAACAACAACCACACGAAGGAACCCAGGTTTAAAACATGTTTCAGGGTTCGATCTGTGAGTTAGCCGTGCCCTGCCTTAGATCAGCCCAGAGGTTGTTTCAGGGTTTTGGATTTGTTTTTGTTTTTTTTCTGGAGTTTTGTTTGGATGGAACGCAAATTATAGACATTAGCAATTCTTAAAATTATTTGGGAAAAATTGTTATTCAAGTAAAACTTCGTCCAATACATTTTGCTGTCGTTGTTTCATTTTCATTTAAGAGCAAAAACAGTTAAAAAAGCGATTGCAAGGATCAAATTTGCACRACGAGTCCAAAGCGCCTGAAATGAAAACCCGTATTTTACTCAAGCGGTAGTTTTACAAATCAGTAAATCAAACGCTTGGCCGCAGGGATGGCTTGGAAATTATCGAAATCAAAACATTTAAATATCATTTTTAACGGCTATTAAATCTGTTCAAAGCACTACAAATACAAAAATATTGTGCCGCCAATTTCGGAATATAACGTCGATCAAAGATCGGTACCAAAATGTTGTGTCCKCACGTGAAAAAAAGGATTTGTTTCTGATCCGACCCAGCCTTTAAATTAAGGAATTTCCATTCCAAAGCAGCCATATCAAAACAAAGTCGCGCGCTTTAGGTCTTAGTTATTCAGACTTTAAGAGTTTAAGTAGTTGAAGAGTGAAATAAAAAAAAGATGACAAGGAATTTCAAAACTAGTCTCTATTTGCATGGTGAGGGTTTGCGAGAGGTCAAGTGGAATACAGGGAAACGTGCAGTTCATGCCTGCCCCTTGCGGGAAGAAAAATCGTGATATTTAATCTTTCTATTTTACCGACTATTCTACACGATCATTAAAAAGAAATCATGATGTAACGTTTGTTTCCGCCAGTACATTTTAATCGCTCCGCAGTCTTATATCGTATTGTTGCGACCACAAAACAATATAGGTTAATAACGAGTATTAATCAACTTTGATAACGATTGCGCACTATAAGATATTTTGATATCGGAATTGCATCCCTAAAATGGCGTACTGACACTTTGCGCTTCCTAATAATGTCCTTGGAGTTATCTATGATATGTAACCTTTATTCCAATAAAAAAGACATGATTCCGCTCAGTACTCGCGGCGCTATGATTTTTCGATTATCGACTTAATTGGAAAAAGATCTAGACTTGTTGTTATTGTTGAATGAGATCAGGATACTGGATAGCATAGTATTACATAGCATAGTATTACTAAATGGATGGATGGATGGATGGATGGATGGAAATCATCAAAAACAAGGAAAGAAAACGATCTCACTAGAAGACTGAAAACTCGGATCGATGCCCAACGTTTCCTTAGTCAAATAACTCTCTCCATAGATCCAACTCAAACTGGTGAATCACACAGCTTCGTGCTAACAACATAACCAAACCCGTGCTATCAAATCACACTTCACTGATGATACCGGAGAAACATCTTAGCATACGCGCGCGGTGGCAATCAGTTCCTAATTTCTTTAACAGCGGTTTATATCAAGCCATTACGTTAAATGTCCTCTTAGCTTTGCTTGACTACCGCTAACTAGAGAAGTCAGTAATAAAAAGATAATAATAATAATAATAATAATAATAATAATAACATTATAGACTTTTATAGCAAAGTTGCTGTGAACAACTATCGAAATTGGCTCTCAAACACTTTGCTCCGAGACTGAATTCAGTTTTAAGCATTTAAAGCAGCTTCAAATATCTTTTTTTTAGA